CCTCTCCACGCATGGCACGAGTAGAGCTTAGTGTGTGTGTGCATGCTCTTCATACATGCTGTATATACATACATACATATTCACTGCTGCACACCACTCCTCTCCATCCGAAACACGCCAGGCCAGACCATGTCCGACGGCTGTCCTCAAATCCTCTACAGGGCGAGTGTGCATGCTGATAAGTGTGTGGTTGTGTGTGTGTGTGTGTCTGTCTGAGTGTGTGTTTGAAGGGGAGGGGGGGGGTTATGTAGAAAGGACACTCTGACAAAACCAAAGTCTTCACTTCTCATCCAGATTGGCCCACAGGGATTTAGATTTCTCACGAGTGGCTGTCGAGTCACAGCAGCAGCAACACAACACTAAAAACTAAACATGCTGACTGTTTTTTTTTTTTTTTTTAAGCACGCTGACGAGGACGAGGCTGTTTTCAAACACAAATCAAATTTATTTAATAAACAAGGAATAGAGTCGGGGAAAAAAAAGGTTATGATGTCCTTGAGGTTGTTAAAAGGACTGGAAGCAAAGCTATTGTGTGGGAAAGAAAAAAAAAAAAGAAAGCCCTGCACTTTTCATGTTGTTGTTTGAAGGTAATTGAATTCCTTATTGACTTTTCTCAATTCTATTTCAAGTTTATTAAGCCAGGCAGAATTGCCTAATGCGGACCATTAAAGTGAAATTAATATTTTAAAAAACAATTCTGGCTCTGCAAGATTGCATTTCATTATAAGTATGGCATTGATTAAAATCCGTCACCACTCATTTAGCTCACCTTACCTGAATATTCCCCATAACAAAATAATTAATGGAACCCAGATGTGTATTACATCTAATCAATTGCCAACACAGAATAATTAAACATTAACTTACTTTACCAATTAGACATCTGAGATCCGGACAGTGCGCTTTTTCTCGTGTGTGTTTCCATTTTCTCCCACGACGGCGCTCGCTCCGTGTCGTCGTCACGCCGTAATTGTTTATGTCCTTGCGAGTCAGATTTGTTTTTGAGCTAAATGCCTATCAGAGCAACAAAGGATATAAACACAGATTAGAAAAAACAAGGCACTTGACAATTTTGAAGATATATAAGAGCTGAGCTTGAGTGGTGATGTGCTGCGCTCTTTTTCTTAAACTCTTTATTTGTTAATCTGTCATATTTTTTTCAAAGAGCCTCTCATCCAGTGACTCATATGACTAGAACCCACTGGAGATGCCGCAGTCATCATAGATGCCAGGATCCCCACGCAGGATCAGTTGTGAAACATTTTTTGGGGAGATGAAGAAAAAATTTTTTAAAAAAGGAGAGAACAGGATGAGACAGGAGATATGATAGTATTTTGTTCAAGCAGCAGTTTTGATGACTGCTAATGCTGAGGGTGTTTTAAAACCGACTGTCGCTGTGTGTAGACACGCCAAGCTCACAGCTAATTTATTATTTAATCCCAGTCCAGTAGAGCCATTTTTCGTCATTCCCAAAAACGATTCCACCTCATGAGCAGCGGTTATGTTCTCTATTCACACATAGGCTAATAGGCTTCTTGCCAAGGCACCGGTGGATGTTAATTGCCCAAGATTGCATGATTCATGGAGTCAATAGCGAAAGGACAGAAAGATCAAGTGAAGAGATGAAGGGGCACAATGAGGAAACTTATCCGTATTCCTCCCTTTGCTTGAGTCCTCTCCATTTCCAACCGCAAAGTATTTCCCTGACACGGAAATACTGACTTGTATGTAATTATGAGGTTATGCTACCCACAGCAGTCCGTCATTCCAAGTCCCAACACCTGCCATTATTTATTCATTGTTATTCCTCCACCAGAAATACACTGTAATTAGATATTGATTACATAGTCAATGTGATGAATTAAACAAAATGCCCCCCTAACGTCTTCATTTGCTATACATAGTTTAGACTCTCTTGCATAAATCATGACTTAAATACTAAGTTTAACAGGGTTCTTTATCCTTTTTTTTCTTCTTCTTCCTCCGTTTTTCACCCGTCATCGCCATCGCCATCAGCATACACATACACAGCCAGCCCATGGAAGTCACACAAATTACATACAACGTCCTCCAAACGGGTCTTTGGATGCATTCTCTCTGCTCGTCCATGTCAGCCCCTTGCCCCCATTGTATTTGCTGTTTCCTGATTTTTTACTGATTTGAGTCATGCTGGACATGTTCGTGTCTCCAGTTGTGTGTGTCAACCACCACGTAGTCCCCCCTCTAGACGCTCTGTAAAGTGCATCACAACAAGGACACATGAATAACTCCTGGTTTCTCTCAATTGCACGCAGTTCGGCCGAATGTGTCATCCCTAGGTGTCGCTAACCGAAAAGAAGGTAGGCATCTAAGATTACGCAACACTTATGTTTTTTCACAGATTTATTTAACTCGAGTGTTTTTGGTCGGGGGTAGTATCTTACCCTTCCTCAGCTTTCCTGACAGAAAGAAAAAAAACATTCTCAGTCTGCTTGTCTTGCTCTTGATGGAGGCTCAAGAGGAGGCTTGTGTGTTCGTAGGGCACTCGTGTTGCAGCGCCGCACTTTATCCTCTCAAACACGCAATGTGTGCTCTGGACATAAATACATAAAGTTTTTAATTAGGTGTAGAGCTTGCAGGGACGCTCTGTTGTGCATCAGCTCATCAAGACGAAAAGCAGGAGAGGTTTCATGGTGGTGTTATGCAGATGTCGCCCTCATCTCAGGTCTAATCCATCGCGTCGATGTGATGTGCAGCCACCTCGCAAGCAGCTAGCACACGACCACGCAGCTCTGTGTTTCCATGACTGCAGCCAAGCGCACACAGCGTATGTGTCAGGGCCTTGTGTCGCCAAGGACAATAGCAGAGGCTGGCCCTATTATTTCTTTTTCCCACTGTTTGTTTTATGACCGGAAAAGAATGGAGGGATTGATGTGTTCACTGCTAGCCAGTTTTCTTACCCACGCTCCTGTGCACAAATTTATAGGGTGAAAATTCTTGGCTGGCCTCCGCCGAGGTGGAGAGTAGTTTGTCAGGGGATAGTTTCTGTCGAGGGAAACATACGCAGAGGCTTGAATTATACAAAGTACTTGTTAATGAAATGAAGCGTAAAAGAGGGACCATAATATTTGAATTGTTCGGCATCTAAGGCATTTGTAACAGATGCTGCGACATGCAGCCAGCTTCACTTGGCAATGTCACTCCTTATTTCCCGATGCCATCACTCATCATTATTGCGTATGTTTCTTTCTTTTTTTACTGTTCTATTTTTATTAGGCATGATGCTTGGTATTCTTAATTCTCTGACATTACATGTGTTGTGTTTAATTGCAATATCATGTTTTTGTTTTTTTTGTTGTTGTTTGTTTTTTTTTTGTTTGTTTGTTTCTTCTTTTAATTTGTCTAGTAGCTCCTCAAGTTGCATTGTCCACTGCCCCTTCTGTCCACGTTGCAAACAGCAAGCGAGGTAGGAGCTCTGGAATTCATACCTTGCCCCCCTACCTTGACACCCCAGCCCTCTCACTGTATGATGTTCCTGTCTACCTGTAAGCCCCCCTAACCCTCTGCAGCACTAACCCCGGGCACCCTGGACTGACGGCTTTCACTGTGCAGGATGGAATCGCTCCTAAACACTATAAAAGTCCCTTGGAATCATTTTACATCTCAGTGCAAATAAAGCGGTTGTTTGAGACTATTTTTGGGGTGACGTATTTCCAAGACTTTTTATTCCTCCCCCTCGTGCGTGCATGATTTATGACCTTAGCCTATTTCTAGAAAGGAGAGATTATTTGTCTTCTGAGAGTATGTCTGCCAGAGTGAGGCGTCCAACGTGGAGGATCTGAGCTCGCACTCAGATAAGACTTGCTGATTTAGGTGAAAGGTAGAGCGAACTGGACTCGCCGTTCCTTCTCGTCCGAAGCCTCGTCGGGGTTGTTAGCGGCCGGACAGAGAGAACTGACCTCAATACAGATTCTTAATAACCACAATCCCTTGGACGAAAGCCCCGCCGGCTAACCCCCCTATTCTGGAGCCGTGAGTGGGCTTTCTGTCCGAGCGGCTGCCAGCGAGGCTTAAGGGTCACATCTGTCTGCGCTGTGACACATGGTGTCAGTGGTCACTCAGCGTGGCAGACTGATCCTCAGCCGGGGAGAGCTGAGCCGGGGCTGCACCCCTCCCGTCCTGCCCGCCTTGGGGCAGGGCTGCCACTGACTATCACAGACCGTGGCAGAATTTTTGCAGTCCAGCTTCGGCTCCATATATCTAATTAAGCATGACATAACTCTGGATAGCAGGCAATGACACACTTCCTCCCAGCTGCAAGTCACCATAAGCTCACCAGCCTCACTGATTGCTTTTTGAAGACAGTATCCTCTAAGTCGGGTTGTTAGAAGCCTTTAAAAACAACCGCCCGGCTACTTAATAAATATCTGTCAGGGGGAATTAAGGATTTCTTGGATTGTAAATAAAGCAGTCATTTCATAACGGTGGGTCGTGATATTTAGTTTCATCTCATCCTCTCACTTCAGATCAGGTAAACCATGACATTAAGCTCAAATACACACAAATCCTCAGACTTCCCCCCCCGCACCATTCCCAGTGGTTGAAAGGTCCATTCCATCCATGGTTTGATCTGCCTTACGCTGTGTGGTGTTCGTGTCTCTGTGCCATCATCTCGGAGCCTCGTGTTGTGGTGTGCTTGAAGTGATGTGACCTCTTGGAACGCCGTGCTTTTTTTTTGATGTGATGTCTTTTCTCTAACTCTGGCTGTGCCCATGCCAGACTAATCATAAAAGACCCACCATCTACCTCAACATCTCCTCCTCCTCCTCCTCCTCCTCCTCCCTACCACCGCGCAGTACCTCCATTTTTAACCTCGCATGCCATGGTGCCTCGCTCAGACGTTTGCTAACCCCACCGCCGTAGCACTCGCAGCAGTAGCAACGATTCCAACACTCCCTATCGCGTCTCTTTCTCTTTCTCTTTCTCCCCTTCTCTGGCCTTCACACTTCTTTCTTTGCAAGACTGCGAATGCTTCGGCCACTCCAACCGATGCAGCTACATCGAGCTGCTAAACACCGTCATTTGCGTGAGCTGTAAGCACAACACTAGGGGCCAGCACTGCCAGCTATGCAAGCTGGGCTACTACCGCAATGCCTCAGCAGAACTGGACGATGAAAATGTGTGCATAGGTCAGTCCCCCACCCGGCCCCCTTCACCGCCACCATGCTTTCACCACAAAACACTTTCTTTGCCTCACTTCCTGTCTTCAACTCCTCACCAGAGAAAGTGCCACCGCTCATCCCTCACCACGCCATCGTCACCACACCTTCCTCTCTCCATGTCCATCACTGGTCTTTTGCTTCTTCTGCTTTCACACAGTGGCGTCACTCATTTGTCAGAAGAAGTATTGAACAAGATGCAGGATGATAGTCAGACACATTATACATTTGTACTGATTCTTGTTTCGGGTGTGGTATCAACACCTGCAGACTGATTAAGGCTTGATGCAGTAAAGCATGATGTGTTCCTAGCTGGTTAAATATGTATCGAGGTATCACTTTTTTGATCTGCTAGCTACATTACATTTCGTGTTAGTAGCATTTTGCAGTTGGTTTCCAGCTGCTAGCTTACATTTTTATGAGCATACGGTGAGATAAGTGTTGACATGAAGCTAGAATGATCTGATGTCACATACAGAAAAATATAGCATGAACACAATCCAATGGAAACACCAAAGATTTGGTCAACACAGCTTCATCTGAAGGGTTAGCTTTGCTGCTGCCGCGGTTTGAGTTAGAGTCTCATACAAAAATTACCTTTTGCATTGAAGAAATAGTTTGGTATTGTATACTAGTACGTTATGTGAGAAAGTTTTGGTCTTTGCAGTAAATACAAAGCTGTAGTTTGCAGATAGTTAGCTTAGCTTAGCACAAGTACATGAGATTGAGGGAAACTGCTAGCTCTGCTCTGTCTAAATGTGAAAAAAAAATGCAACCAGCACCTTGGAGAGCTCAAAAACTAAAAATTGTCTCAGTCCTGGTTTTCCACGATGTATACCTTGTGAACGCAGCGCATTTAATTTTACTTCTGACACACATAAAACTGATCATTAAACTGACAACTGTGTAGCTGAGCATGACTCTTGAATCACTGCCACCTTGAAGTTATAAAGTTAAAAAGGCCATTTGTTCCTGGTGTTTCTGTTATTCTGTTCATGACTGTTATGCAGGCATTCATAAACTGCATCATCTATTTTTCTTATGTGTAAAAAAAAAAAAAAACTACATCCCACATCGTTCCTAAGGCGATAGTTTGGCTCTCTATTGAGTTCTTTAGCTTGCACGTGTTGTGCAGATCCACAATGCTTCGGCGCCAGGTGCACTTGTGAGTCCTGAGGGGGGAGTTTGACAAGCGACAAGAGTTCTGAGAGAAATGTTGCAGGGGAGTCACACTGCCAGTCAGAGGTGCCACGCTAGTGCATATGTCATATACATGAAATGGCCTCAGGAGTAGCAGCTGAAACCCGTCACAAGGCATTACGAGTCACCGAGGCGTTACTGCGTGCCAGACCCGCCGTCACCCTGCCTCTCTCTCACTGACCCCCCAGTTTGTCACTTGCCGTCACCTCTCTCCTCTCGCCTTACCCCTGGATGTCACTCGGGTGCAGCCACGTGCAGCCAGCACAGCCACAGAAGGTGCAATGTGATGGTCAGGGACTGTCAAAATAGGTGTCACTTTGACTGCAGAGTGCTTCAGCTGCTGTGGAAAGTCGGAAGGTCAGTGGAGTGTAGGACGCGAGAGGCTTGACAGGTTATTCTTTACAAACTGCTTTTTATTAATTGTGCCACGTGACTGTTCCCGGTCGTTAATGGCTAAGAGGCGTTAAAAGACCAGGCCGAGTCCCTATCGGAGGATAAATATGAGTATTTAGAGTTGTTAGAATTAAAGAACATATTACAACAATGCCCATTTCAATGTACCGCACTCTCATCCCTCTGAAAACCTGACATTCACTCTTTATCTTTGTTCCACGCCGTCATCCATCTACCACCAGCTCATCACATTTTCCGTCCTCTCTTTCCATCTTTTTCTGTCTCTAACTGTATGAATGACTCAGATTTTAGAAGAGCATGTTCAGATAAGCTCACTTTGTCCATCTGAAATCAAAGCTACTGGTAATGCTTTGCATATTTGCTCATTGCACGCTCTGTACTACGGCAAAATTAATTATATTTTGATTACAAATATGTTGTAATGAATATAAAATGATCATGCATCTAGAACCAGCTTCATTTCTTTCTCATTCTGTCTCCATTACAGTTGAAATGGTAGCATTTTTTCTCCTGTATGAGTCTTTAAGTCTATATATTTTTTAAGATAATAATCAAAAGCCTTGCTGAGCTGATAATAGAGCTCGAGGACTGCGGTCCGCGCTGTGAACAATCCTAGACGTGTGCCGGGAAGTCAAAGCAACCACCCTGTTCTCCAGCCTGTGTGTATGTGTGTGTCTTGTTTTTCCAGAGTGTAATTGTAATCCCTTTGGCTCAGTCAGTGATCGCTGTAATGGCACAGGATTTTGTATATGTAAGGAGGGCACTACAGGGCCTAAGTGTCAGGAGTGTCTACCCGGCTATTTGTGGGACGATGGCTGCAAATGTAAGTAGAACCACAACCCTCCCCACCAGCAGCTCCAGACTGCTCTCCTCCTCCTGCCTCCGCTCTGTCTCTCCCCTCTATTCTCTCTCTGATGTCTTTTCTCTGTGTGATTCCTGAGCTTTGGCTGGAAGAATGCGAGGCACATGCGCAGCACACGACCAGCTGCCTTGACAAACACGGGCCTAGCACGCAACACCAGCTAAACCCAACACACTGAAGCCATTTACCTGAACCCGCATTTCACACTTGCCGTGGCTGCGTTGCCGGTGTAATGTCAGTAGGTGCCCTTTATGGCTCAAATAGAGAACAAAAGCAACGGCATGGCAGGATGCATGCTGCTCGGTAACTCAGCTATCCAGCCGTGTCGCACACCAACAACACAACAGCTGAGTCAATATTGTCTGCTTGACAGGCTGCCTGTGATCTGTTTGAGTAGCCATCACTCCCAATGTGCCAATCCACAACAGGACAATGTCATCCAACACCAACATTTTTTAAAGGAGAATGCAGGTCATTTTGAGTTCCAGCCCATTTATTTATCGTTTTGTGTTCTCCTCTGTCATGTTGCAATGCATGCCCTGTGTGGTCTTTTGTTGTTGTTGTTGTTGTTGTTGTTGTTTTTTTTTTCTTTTTCATTGGTTCTTTCAAGACGAACTTCACTGACAAACGACAAGAAAGCGACAAAATAAACCTTCGCGATGGTGGATTTAACTGAACAAAGCCTCTTTCATTTAGTTTGTAAAAAAAAAAGACTCACAAAGTAATTGTCAGATCAGATAATTGCTGCTAATTGGCACTCACCACCACCCGTCTTTGTGTCGAGTTACTTCACATTCGTAGACCTGTTCCACGGGGCAGTAGCGTCTATTTGCCCCCCTCCTGAAGTGCAACATTAATCCCTGCTCTCACTTACAAAGGTGTCCTAAATAAGGTGTAGCTCTGTTTCTTCTCATAGATGTAAGTGGTGGTATCATCACGGTGACACGTTTTTTCTGCTCCTGTTAATCACAAAACCTGAAATATTGATCCAATAAATCATTTCTTAGTGCAATGCAAAGGACAGACTCGCTTGTCTTTATATTTATGCTCGTTAATGCCGAGACCATTGTGGAAAAGCTTTTAAAGGCCTGTGCAGTCTTAAAGCTGCAGAAAGCTGAAAAAAATGAGACGACAAAACAGCTTGAAGCTAAAAGTTAAAACTTATTTGAGCTTCAAATGAGACTCCAGCTGCTGAGTGAAGGTTCAATGTTTGTCCCACTGTGCCACCACAACCTATACCCTCTGATCTGATCTGGTGTTTAAAGGCCTCTGATTGGCTGAAGAAGGTTTTCTAAAGCTAGTAGGAGGTTAGTTTTCTCTCCGACCACTTGAGTTACAATATGTTAGATGGCTAATAAGGAAGTTTTGACAGATGGCATCACATAAACATTGCTTAGCCTAGCTTTAATATCATCTTTATGTGCATTACTGATAAATCCAAACTGGTGAATGTCGGATTCTGATGTTGTCAGGAACATCGACTCAAAGGAGAATTCGTTATGCAAAAGTCAGAAAGGCCACTTTTTTCTCTTTCATGACGTCTGACTGTATAAAAGATGGACGTAACAACTGCCCCTGGAAAATGAAGCCAAACCTGGAAGTGTCAAAAACCTGCAGTGTCACTACGTCCACTAGCTGCTGGCTCCAGAGAGCCCTGGCTCCCATAGACTCAGGATGTTTTCTTATTAGTTTTCATGGTCAAATCCAGAGATCAGGTGGCCAATCTGAAAATAAATCAACACTGAAAATGGTCAACATTTTGCGGGACAAGGGGCGTGGCTGGCTTGATTGACAGTCGGCAGCGACCATACAGACGAAGCGAGCAGAAGGCGGTAAATGTGGGCGGGCAGAGAGGGCCCGCCTCTCAATCTGTCTGACCAATCACTGCTCCTATGGCTCCGCCCCCCTCCAACGATTTTTGCGTCACTGGCTCCAAAAATCCAAGATGTCAACCAGGAAGTAGAAAAACCCTGGCTTCATTTTCTGGGTGACGTCACCGTAGCTACGTCCATCTGTTATACAGTCTCTGCGTCTGACTCAGTAGACCACAATGCAATGCAGGCACACGGCTTTGTCTGGTTAATCATTAGAGCTGTAAAAGAGAGGGGCGCCTACAAAAGAACTCACTCATGATGGATTCCTGCAATGCTCTGAATCTTGATCTGATCATAACACAACCAGGCGGATACATCAGACTAAATGTTGAGTGTGTTTAATGCAATATTTTGACAGCAGATTGTTAGAAACATCCCTTCACTGTGGTGTTTAGCTTTTGTTCGTAGGAGTGCTTTAAAGCCTGGTGCATTGTGATTTAAATTTATTTCAGTAGTAGCTTCTGACAGAGATGGATGCTCATTAACATGCACACTTTTTGACTGTTTGTACTAAAATATTCAGCGTGCGTTGCGTAAATACGCTCCGTCAGCATCTGTTGCTACGCAAAAGGTAGGCGTGAAGGCAGACCCACGTTCCATAGCAGGAAGAATCCGGCATTACCCGCCGAAATATCGAGGATGCTGAGCTGTACAACGGCAGTAATTAAATGTTTACAAGTAACAAGAGAAAGTGGAGGGGGGGAGAAGTGAGAGAAAATATATTTTTGTTGTTATGCGGTGCCAAGTTAAGCAGATGGGAAGTCACATACAGCGAGAGAGAGCACAGAATGGATCAGTAGTTTTATTTGTCAGATTAGTCATGAAGCAGTGATCAGAAAATCAAACAAACAAGCTCTGAGTGAAGTATTTGTATGTTCTCAAAACTTCTGCATCAGTATGCCTCAAACTTTTCCTCCCCCTACCGGGAGATCTGAGAGCTTTAAGCAATACTGCAACACTTAAAAAGGCTGCGAACACCCAGCAGCGTGGAGGGATATGTAAAAATAGTCGGCTCCGCAACGTCACGTCTGCCTGATATGGGTTTTCATAAAGAGTTGTAATTGCCTGAATAAAAATTTTATAAAAACTCCTCCCTCCCTCCCTCCCAGAGAAATCTATGAATATAACAATATTTTTCATTTCAGAACATTCACTTCTGGGTACAAGACGTCTCCTGCAGAGAGTTTTATTGATGTATGTGTGATTCTAAGAGAAACCTTCAGATGAGCAGATGAGTCTGTGGGTGTCCTTGCATCCAGCATTCTGCACAGAGAAGGTCAGACGTCCAGGAGAAGAAACAAGGACCAGAACACATCTCATAGAGAAACTCCTTAGTAATACAAGTACATATGTATGGAGGATGTAATTAAGTGACTTTTCTCAAACTACTTCTATCAAATACAGTCATGACTCGATAATCCGACACTAAATGTAAAACCTTCTTTTATGTCGGATTGTCAAGACGGAGGTCCAGATACAAGGAGGGCTTGATGCTGGAAGGATCATTAGTTGTTCATTATTGTTCATAGTTGTTATAATAACTAGTGTGTTGTTAGAACACTACGCATCGCTGGAGTTCAGCCTAACTGACCAGTACGCTGGTGCACGTTCCGGCCACTTCCACCCCGGGGCAGCGCTCTGACGGGGTGGAAGTGTCCGGACACTAAATGTAAAACCTTCTTTTATGTCGGATTGTCAAGACGGAGGTCCAGATACGAGGGCTTGATGCTGGAAGGCTCATTAGTTAACTATTGTTCATAGTTGTTATAATAACTAGTAGGGCTGGTCCCAGTAGAACTTTCTGCTCTCTGGATATTCAGACCCAATTAATGATGAATGTCTCAATATTCTGCATGGTCGGGGGACACTTCCACCCCGGGGCAGCGCTCTGACGGGGTGGAAGTGTCCAGAACACACAGGCAGTACTTGGCTGCTGATGCTAGTTTAGTTAGCGCTCACACTTCTGTTTCCTCCATCGGTGGCGGCGGGGGAGTGGCAGATACGCTCCACCGTTACCATCCATGTTTACTTCCATAAACACTGAGCACGCTCGCTGCGTGTGACGTCGTCGTGTCCTCTTCTGCGCATGCGGGACACTTTTGGCTCGTATGAAGTTCACACAGCAGATCACATACAAGTCGCATTGAACTGGAAACGTGAAGGAAGTCACAAAGAAATCCTCATTGAGCATCAAGTCCTGCAGTGTGAACGTAGCCAATCTGTGGGATTGTTCAGTCAGATAATACGCCGTCATCCTTATTGGTGACATTAAATGTCATGTCGGAGTCAGAATCCAAGGCTGTCGCTATGTTAAGGCTGTTTTTATGGGTTTCATGTCGGATAGCAGGTTTAGGATTGTTCAGGGTCGGATTATGGAGTCACGGCTGCACTGTAACGTTTCCCAGAATGCAGCACCATTCAGCAAACAGACCGTGTATATAGATGGCGATCGTGATGATGGTGTTTAGTGCACGTTGTTGTGCTGACAGTCTTCAAAGATGAAGCTCTGACTCCATTGCATTGTGGTCTACTGAGGCCTTGGTGCAGACATCATGAGTATTCTTTACTCCACTATGGATTTTCTTCCTTTATTGTTGTTCATGTTTTGAAAAAAAAAAAAGAAAATGTAAAGAATCCCCCTCCGCTCCGGCAGTAACTTAAAAAGCCACTTTTCCGCTGGAACTAGAAAGATTACCTCAACAACAAATGGGTCGCAAAAGTGGAAAATACACCCGGCTATGAATTTGTTGTCACATTAGCTGCGCAATACGATTTCCAACAAAAAAGTTTTAAATGGAAAACACCTGAAATATTGATTCTATCTGTCAGTGATCCCCCCGACTGGAAAAGTTTGAGAACTTTTCCGTCTTGACCTTGTTTTTCTGCATCCCTGCTGCTGCAGTATTTATGTGCATGGACCAAACCCGATCTGCATGCAGGCTGGAAAATGCAATTAAAACTTAAATCTCTCGTCAAACACATCACTTTCCCAGGCAGGCACACCTAGTTCATCGGTCCCCTCTCTAAATATTATCACTCATATCAAAGGCAAACGCGACAAATCTCGTCATTTACTGCCTGTGCCGGCTCTGTTTACATGCGCTAATGCAAAACGGTTAATGTGAGGAACTGAAAGCAGACAAAGGTGCAGAAAAGAATCCTCACAGACAGTAAAAGGAGAGTTTATCAACCATTATAGCCTCTGCTGTAGCTTTATGTGCCCTCAGGTGGTCGTCCCTTCAAAGTGCGATCGTACCTTTAATCTTACTGACCCTACATCTTCGCCAACAACTTGTTATTGACGCTTCTTTTTTAAATAATCAATACCTCTGCTTCATTTTGGACTTCAGCTTAGCTTAATTGGCAGCCGACGAAGCGCCGTGCCTGCAGGGCTTTGCCATTACCTGAACATTCCTTTGAAATCAGCTTAACTGGCGATGCAGTTCGGAGCGTCGTGCAGCATTTAATGGGAGCGTTCACTAGTTTTATGTTCACACGATGCACATCAGCTACGGATAAGAGAAAATTACAACATTTTATTAATGAAGCCCTTAGCAATATTTTTCGAAAGAGCTGTTTTGCTGAATGCACGTGTTGTCATGTTTGACCTTCGCCTACTTTCTGGAAGACGGTGAACCAGTTCTGAAAGCTGCTAGCTGTTAGCCACCCCACTCGCTAACATTTACTTATAACCAACACAACTGAACTGAATGCTGCCACTAGAGTCTTATTGTTAAATCTGGCTGATTACAACTGCTCAGAAAAGCAAACTGACCAACTGGATCTGGACGACGACCTTGACTGTGTTTACTTGCCAACTAGCGTCGTGGTTATGAGGCCGATCCTGGTTTTGATGTTTACACGGAGCACAAAGAAATCTGGTTATTTACATCTCTATGATAAATACTAGAAGCCCGGCTGCTGATTACTACCTGCTGTTTGCGCGGGCACCTGCGATGTTTACAGCCAAAAGCTGCCAATTTAATCTGACATTCCTGTAAGCGTTAACCTAACCTTCAATTTATTTGACTGTGGATGTTTGAAAATGAGCCCACTTTGGCTCACAGCGAGTTTCACACTAATAAATGCCAACATTGCGGCGTGGATTTGGCCTCCTCACCTTGTGACCGGCGGCGGGAGGCGAGAGCGCCGGAGAGCCGTGACCGGTGGGAAAGGCTCATCCTGATGGAGCGGAGGGAAAGTTTCTGTTCTGCTGAGCTGTTCACGAGACCAGAGGAGCCATCAGTAGCACCAATACCGGTTCTTTAGGGAATACAGCTGAGTTACGGACCAGTTTGGGGTTCGTAGAAACAGAGGAAGTAAATGTGTGGGTGTTCTGTGGTGGAAGAAACATCCACCTGGCTGAAGCATCATAAAATAAGATGTATACATCCAACAGCGGGCTGCAGGGTGGCGCAGTTGTGGCCTCGCAGCAAGAAGGTCGCCGGTTCGTGTCCCGGTGGGGGCACCAGGATCTTTCTGCGTGGAGTCTCCATGTTCTCCCCGTGCAGCGTGGGTTCTCTCCGGGTTCTCCGGCTTCCTCCCACAGTCCAGAAACATGCTGAGGTTAATTGGTGATTGTAAATTGTCCGTAGGTGTGAATGTGAGTGTGCTTGGTTGTCTGTCTCTAAGTGTAGCCCTGTGATAGACTGGTTACCTGTCCAGGTGAACCTGCCTTCACCCTGAGTCAGCTGGGATAGACTCCAGCCCCCCATGACCCTAGTGAGGATTAAGCGGTGTAGAGATGATGGATGGATGGACATCCAACAGCATTCTTTCCTCCATCTAGCCAATCTGAGCCTCCCAATCCCCAAAGAAAGACTTCTGAAGTTGGGATATGATGTTTACATGCACAGAAATAGGATGCTTCAAAAACCAGATCATAACCAGGATTATCAGGTTCATGGAAACACAGTCAACGTCTGTCAGTCCCCACAAACATGGAAGTCTAACAGTCAGACTTCATTCAACAGGTTGTGTTGGTTTTAAGTGGGATTTCTCCTCCTCAGCATCAAACATTGTGCACAGCAAGTTATCGTCACAACAGTCTCTTTGTATTTAGTTATTGTGAGGTGCCGCCATCGTCTCTTATGAAGCTAACACTGCTCGAGCGTCCTGGTCTCCCGAGCCGTCGCCTCGTCGCACCAGCTTGACCTTGAGCTGCTTCTACTTTGACAAGCTGGCCGACGGTGTCTCGCACCTCATTTCAAGTATTTTTTGGGGGGAAATTTCGAGTACAGGAGGAATACAAACCATTAAGAAATGCATATTAGCATTCTATCACGACATCAAGGAGGAGGAAGATGGACAAGATGAAAGGTCATTGTCTAATTAAAGGAGTCTCTCCTGTGTACTGATCATATCAGGCCCTCATGATTCTTTAATTAATGCTTTTGGCTCTTCCTTGTCATCTTGGAGGAGACATTCTAATTACCAAGTTCAACTGTTGCCTCTTTACAAGCAGAAAACCAAGAGAACAAAGGCTGGCCATGTTTTCCAGGCGGCGGCGGCGGCTGTGCTCTTATATATCGACTCATTATTGTAGTTTCCTGTGAGTGGCCGAATTGGTCATGAAATTGATATGTCAGTTGGAAAAAAGACAAAGATGGAGTTCAGATGTCTTATTTGGATCTGCTTGTGCATGGTAATTGGTGAGCTGTGGCCCGAAGCAAAACTTACTGAGCCAAACAGCGGCTCTCTTTTCTCCGACAGAACCGACGTGGCACAAATAGGATTCGCACAGTCAATGTTTCTTAACAAGCCTCCCATCAAAGCCCTATTTGGCTATTCCTGGGAGACAGCATGCATCCAATCCGCAGCATTAGGAGAGAGGTCTTATATTTGTTATTGTGATATTTATGTCCCATAGAGTTCATAGATTGCTCACCACATTGTTTTCCACTCCCATAAAGGACTGAAATGGGCAGAAGTGGCCCCTGTGTTTATCACTGTTTATTTGTCTCTGTTGGTTTATTAGTTTGTGCAGCGCTGCTTTGTTTGCCTCCAGCTTGCTTGACAGCTTGCCTCCGCTGGGAATAGAGTGGCCTCGGTGTCCCAGCTCTAAATATACACCAATTTTCACCTGACGTTCAGTTTGTCTAAAGTCAGTGCTGCTGTTTGGGGAAAGCCGCGCTCGGCTTTGAGGAAAGTGTGGATTTCTGTTGCTGCAACGCGGCTGATTTGATTTAATAAGGTTTGTTATTAAACCGACGGACGGGAGTCTCGTTAGAGACAGAGTTGTGTTCCAACTGCAGACTGTAAAAAAAAAAAAAAGCTTTAAAAATCCTCACTGTTGTCACGGTTAAATGTCAGCTGTTGTAACGTTTAACTGCATGTCATATTATTATTATTATAGGAGGATGTGAGGTTTTTACAGAGCGTACATTTGGAAAAGAAGAATGAAAAATCTGCTCAGTATAAAAACCTGAAAGGTGGCATTAAATTCTTTTAAGGTTGTTAAAACTATAGAAGAAGTGTCACATCTTTAAATTACAAGTGTGATTTAAATAATTAAAAAAGGACCCTTAAAGCAATTGTGTGTTAAATTTTTTAAAATAAAATGCCTTTTACTTCCACTGGGAGGCGCCAGATGCAGATTTTTTTTAATGCACATGGCAGCTTTAACATGTTTGCTTTCTATTGAACCTCCACTAACATGACTAACCTTATCTGACAACAACTTTAGAATACTTTACTGCAATGCATGCACCAAAGAGTTAGCAGTTAGCATCGAGCTAATCATCTATATCACATGCATTTTAACATGTGTCCTAAATTTTTTGCTCCACAAGTGAAATGTTGATGCGCTCGCTCAACATTATGCGAAATATACCTGTTTGATTTCTTGCAAAGTTTTTTGGATGAGACGATTGATGCGGGACTCGTAGCTGGAGCGGGTTAGCTTAGCATAAAGACCAGAATCAGGTAATAAAATCTAGCATCAACCAGCACCTCGTAAGCACCTCATGTTGTGCAGTAAAGTGTTTTCCATGGGGTGTTGGGTGCTCGTATAATAACCACCATGAAAACATTCAGTTTTTCTGTAGAATAAATGAACTGCAGCCACACAAGGTCCCTATTTCAGGTCCTTATGCTCAGCTAAACTCTCCGTCTCCATATTTAATGTGCAGTTATTAGTCTGGTCTCTGTCTTCATCTGACTGCAGGCAAGATGGTGAATAAGTATATTTCCTCAAACATATTCCTTTAAGAGTTCAGAAGTCTGGAATTAAACGTGGTCACGCTTTACTTGAAGAACGCCTCTTTGTGAGTTGTTTCAAAGTATTACGCGAACTACAAATCTGAATTTGCCAATCTTTTAAGTGTCCTCCAGTGTTTTCCTCTTGCGTCTGAAGCTCTTCAAGTAAAGAGTCGCCTGTATGTATGTGTGTGTGTGTCGGCTTCTCACTGCTGTCTCCTGTCTCCACATTGCTCCCATCGCAGCCCGGGTGTGCGACAACGAGCTCCTGCGCTGTCAAAATGGCGGAGTGTGCGTCAACAACGTCCGCTGCAACTGTCCTTCAGCCTACACGGGCCTGCTGTGCGAGAAGCCCCGCTGCGAGTCGGAGCTGGGCGGCTGCGGGGGCCCCGACTCGGGCCAGGCCCCCCTGACGCCTCCGTCCACCTCCGGGCTGCTGATGCTGCTGATGCTGGGCTCGGCACTGCTGACAGAGGCCTCCTGCTGGCCCGCCGTGCTCTGAAGAGACCCGTTACCTGGTGGGAGTGACACGCTTCCCGCCGCCTCCACCTTAAACCCTCCCATCCCTCCTTTCAAATAATCAACACCCATTTAAAAAAAAAAAAAAAAAAAAAGAACAACCATGAGCTTTCTGGACTGTAATGTACTGAGCTTCTCCGCCGCCAGACTCAATGGACACTCGCGCTGACAATAAAGGGAATGTGCCAGACAAATGAGTGCAAAAAAAACTTTTCATCTAATTTCAAAGAATATATAGAAATGAAAAAAAAACATATACTTCTAAAAAAGCCAGATATTATTTAAAAGATATGAGTAAGTGAGCGTTTGCCTATTAAGAGTAAAATGAGCAGAGAACAGTGAGTCCCCCTCCTCCCCCTCTAAGCCATACCAGGTACACGAGCTCCTTCCAGTTTGAGAAGGGATAACCGAAGATGACAGACTTGTTCACTTCCTCTCTTATTGCCACGGCAACAACAGCTGCGACCAATCAGCTCTCGCACGAGGCCGACGGTGGCCGCCCGATCCCCCTCGGGATGCTTCTGCGAGTTAATGTTGGCTGGACTGACGCCGAAGAAATCTCTCAACAAAAAAAACCAAACAAACAAAAAAAAAAAAAAAACTGTCCCCGCTGAATGGCAAAGAACTGGAAACCGTTACACTTGGACGACAAACAGAAAGAGGTGAAAAACCCCCCAGGAAGCATTCTTTGCTGTCAGTGCATTGTGGATAGAAGGAAATCTGTCCGGACTGCCGCTTTGTGACACTGAACCTCGCCCACGTTGATCCCTCTCTATCTTTCTGTCTCCCCCCCTTCGAGCTCTAACTCATCCTCCCTCCTGTTCATCCACTTCCCTTCCCCTTCCCGTCCTCCCGTCCGTCCCACCGAGCCCCTCGCCATGCTGCCACTGACCTGTGCTTTCGTGAACGTTACTCTGTAAAACCCTCGTTGGTTGAAAGATTCTTTTGTCCGATGTTAGTGATGCACACGTGTAAGAAGCCCCGTCCTCTTCCCTCCCCGTTCCTCCTCCTCCTCCTCCTCCTCCTCCGAAAAGATATAAAAGCTGTCTGATTCTTTTTCTATCTTAGAGCCGCCACGCTCGCTACCATCATGGTCAGAGGATAGTTTTCACCCGAGCAGACGAGAAGTGCATAGAAATCCATCGGTGTATTTGCAAGTTCTTTTCTCGACAGAGCAAACAAAACAAAACAAAAAAAAACGAGTCATGTAGTCCTTTTGTATCTTTGCCGAACTGTGATTGAAAAAAGGCGACCTTTAATGTACCTATTTAAGACATCCGAATACAGAAGCAATCGTTTCTTTTCTCTGTTTGACTCCATTTCTTATTTTATTTTATTTTTTATTTTATTTATGACTTTTAGTTGTGCAGTTGATTTTCCTTTGTATTGGCAACGTGCTGGCATCAAAGAATATCAGTTTACATATACAGTATTAATAAAGTGTAATAAAATCCCACCAAAGGACATTATAAATGTTTTGTTCTTGCTTTAACACTTGAGAATTTAAGTGAATAAAAGTTTAAAAATCAAACCGTGTCGACCTTTTTTTTCTTTTTCTTCTAGCGATGCCCTTTGACCGACGACGTAAGTATCCGCCGTCCAAACCCGCCGTTTGTTTTCCTGTAAATCGCTGGTCAGGATTTCAAAGGCACCACGTTATATTGAAATTAGGAGACAGTGTTCAGTTCTGAATTTATTCAAATAAAGTGTTGGAGTCCCCTGGAGAGTGATTTAATTGGTGCACAGCAGGTCAGCTGAGTGTGAAACGAATGTGACGCCGAACGATCCGACGTGTACGAAAAATAAAGATTCCAATAAGAAATGAAAGTGTTTTTACTTGGTAGAAGAAATTAAAGAATTAAAGCGACACCAGAGAGCAGAAATAGTCCTTTGCAATAAATAGCCAGTATTGTGAAGATACAAATCAAAATAAAAATTGCATTTAGTTCAAACAGATATATATAATTTTACTGAATTATAATTATTGCTTCATCATGTGATCGTTGCTGTGATTTTTCAGGCTGATTTGATTTAAATCATCCAGATTTATGAATCCCCGACTTCTTTGTCTAAACTGACAATGAGCAGGAATAAAGTAAAAGTAGAAATTAGCTGCACAATTTTAAAAAAACAACTAAAAGTGTAATTGCCTCCAAAATGTTCCTCAGCTCAGTATTTGTGTGTATTTATGCAGACGTCTTCTAGCGTCGGTCAGAGTTGGTTTAATCCTGCATTTTATTCGTTTATACGTCTTTTTTTAATCAGTTATAATTAATTTAATTGTTTATATTTCTCTTATTAATCATAATGTGCAAATTAATTACTGACTAAAATGATCAAATAAATTTAGCAGCACAAAAAGTTTCCCTCTTTGAAACTCTAACATAGCAGGAAATAGAACTATTATTATTCGAAATTCAACTTAATTTTATATATTATACCAGGAAATGCAGCTTTAATGTCATTTCAACTATACTAGATAGAGTTTTCCTTTCTTTTTCCAGGAAATATTTTGACTATTATTATAAAATTACAGCCTCATCAAATCAAACCCTTTTCCCGTCACGTTATAGCGGCGCAGCGCACTGATTAACATTTCAATCAAATGTAGTAAACCAGTAAAGCGCTTTGAACAGCCTCCGTTCTTTAATGGCACTTATTATATTTTGTAATGTTTTGTATAATATCTGTCGCCGTGGATGTGCTCAGTGTGTAATTATATTGTCTGGTCTCGCTCTGTGAATCCAATCAATTGCGAGTGTTCACAAGTATTTTAGATTGTAATAACGGGCCACTAGCCATAATAGGAACCTACAGCGAGGCCTATTGTTGGACTAAATTGCCCTTTATTATGGTTCAAAAAGACGCTCTTGTTTATTGGTAATCCTGATACCTAAAGCTCGAGTCCTCATGTCCAGTATTACTCATGATCGGTGCATTAAAACCGCGTTTACAGGATCTCACGCTCTGACTTTGCAAAATGGAAAATAAAAGTAAACTCCTGTTGGTTTATGAATTCCATCCAGACACTCTGGGCACACGTTCACTCTCCTCTGTTGTTTATTTCAATTATAACTGCACATACAGTAGAAAACGCCGCCTTTAGTGCTGCTTCAAAAGCGCTGACACATCAGATAAATTAATATGCGATCTATGGAACAGAAACCCCAACAAGGCCGCCCTGACAAAATAGTGGCATAAAAATCTGTGTATCAGCTTTGGTAATATTTCCGTGCTATTTATCTTGAATTCAATCTGGTAAAGATTTGTTTCAGTGTCATGCATTGTCGGAGGCACCAAATTAAATATTTACAACTATCGATGTCTCCCGGAGAGCCTGTGTTCAAAGTTTATATAGTGGGTCTTGTCAGACACTCGACAGTTCATCCATAACCTGAAATATTCAAGCCGCAGCTCCGGCTAAACAGACTCCGTCCTTTGGTTTTTTAAAAGTTTGACTTAGAGGGAGGAGAAGAACTTAGGACCATTGATTGTTCTGCTAATGCCTCAATAACAACAGATTGTTGCTTCCTGGTGTCAGTGTGCCAAATGAAGTGATTCAGAGATTTCATTTCTGTGTCTCATCCAGAGCCACGAAATCACGTCCATGTCTCAGGAATAAATCCTAAGTGTGCTGGAAATGAAAATAGGAGCCTTAACTGTTTCCTGCAAAGTGCTGAACACACGACAGTCGATAATCTGACGCTAAATGTAAAACCTTCTTTTATGTCGGATATCAAGGCTGTCGGATTGTCCAGACGGAGGTCCAGATACGAGGAGGGCTTGATGCTGGAAGGCTCATGTGTTGTTAATTATTGTTCATAGTTGTTATAATAACTAGTAGGGCTGGTCCCAATAGCACTTTCTGCTCTCTAAATGTTCAGGCCCAATTAATGATGAATATCTGAATATTCGGTGCGGTCGGGGGACACTTCCACCCCGGGGCAGCGCTCTGACGGGGTGGAAGTGTCCAGAACACACAGGCAGTACTTGGCTGCTGATGCTAGTTTAGTTAGCGC